TGGAGGTAGTAATGATAATGGTAAGAGGATAATTTGCATGGAGGGCTGGAACTTATAACACACTAATCCATCTAGCCTCATTTGACCTTTATGAAGATTCTATAAAGAAGAAATGGCTTCAATTTTAATAATGGAAAACCTGGAGCTCAGGGAGAAGAACCAGTAATCAGGGTATCTGATGCCAGTTCCTGTGCTTTTTACCCATAACTGATTTTCCTTTTTCTTAGAAGCCTTTGCAAATTGTCCCTTCTCATTAGTATTGTGTTTTACACAATAAATTGAAGTTTTGGAAACCTTTCTGTATATTTAACAAATATTTGATGATCCATAAATTTGAAGATACTTGGAAACCTATCATCGAAGAATTAATTACCTGCTCCTACTCATCACCTTCTTAGGACAGAATTTTAAAACCAAGTATACTTATGCCAAGGGGTTGAACAGAAAATGATATTCTCAACTCTCTCTGTTGTCATTAGAGAAGAAAAAATGAAAGACTTGTAGATACAGCTTGAATCAGGTATTTAGTTGGATACCTACCATTGCGTGTCCTCTATGGTTGTTTTTATTCACACTTGCATATATATGTATAAAAGGGATGAGAGGGAGAATGTACATGTGTGTGTAAAAAAAAAAAAAAGAGCCAATCTAGATGTAATATAGAATGACAGCATTAAATGCATCAGTGAAAGTTGATCGTTTGTAAAAGGACTCTAATACCAAATCTTAGTTACATTTGGTGGGAGCTCTTTACATACTGGGCTTGTCAAGATCCTTATAATTTCAGGGGGCGCCTGGGTGAGTTAGTTGGTTAAGTATCTGCCTTTGGCTCAGGTCATGATCTCAGGGTCCTGGGATTAAGCCCTGCATCAGGCTCCTTGCTCAGCGGGGAGTCTGCTTCTCCCTCTCCCTCTGCCTGACGCTCCCCCTACTTGTGCTCTCTCTCTCTCACACTCGCTGTCTCTCTCTCTCAAATCTTTAAAAAAAAAAAAAAGATCCTTATAATTTCAAGGGCTACCCCTTCCTTGTTGACCAAATATAAAAGGATGTTTTTGGGGGAAGCATTGTGCTTGGGAGTCACAGGCCACCCTGCTACTTAACCCAGTGGCCTTGGTCAAGTTTCTCACCTCCTATGAGTCTCTAAAACAGATGATACAAGTAGAGTCTGGTCACACAGAATTGTTAGTATTAGATGAGGTTCAGTTCATGTATGTTTAGTATTATGCCTGTCTCCACACCAAAGACTGCAGTATTAGGTATTTGTTCTTAAATAATTCTTAGTAAAGTGAACATATTTGATGTATAAAGAATGTGAAATAAAAAATACAGAGGGGTGGGGTGCCTGGGTGGCTCAGTCGTTAAGCATCTGCCTTTGGCTCGGGTCATGATCCCAGGGTCCTGGGATTGAGCCCCGCGTAGGACTCCCTGCTCCGCGGAGAGCCTGCTTCTCCCTCTCCCAGTCCCTCTGCTTGTGTTCCCTCTCTCGCTGTGTCTCTCTCTGTCAAATAAATAAATAAAATCTTAAAAAAAAAAAAATACAGAGGAGTTAGATAATTTCTACTTAGTAAAGAAAAATAGATTAAAGTTGTTTAAACTGTGTAGGAATATATTGGCTTTAATTCATTAGTCTAAGGTTGTACTTTGAGTGAAGATCTGCTCTGAAGATTTAGTGGAGTCATACATGAGAAAAAAATGTGGAACTTCCCTGATTCCACACCTGGGGGGATTTCCAAGGATTTAGTTTATTTTCATGATTGAATTCCTGTACATTCATAGGATTTTAGCCTTAGAAAGGGGATCATCTGGTGATGTTCCTTTGTTTTACATCTGAAGAAACTGAGCCCCCTGAAGAGTCAAGAGAGAGGATCCCTCTCTTGACTCCCTTCTGTGGAGTTCCCATTACTCTTGGTTTGTGGTCCTGTAATGGTGCTTATATTCAGGAGGCTGCTGTGGGTTGCTTCTCTGTATGTCTTTGTCTGTCACTACTTTTTAATTCCTTGAGCGTAAGCTCTAGGTCCAATTTGTTTTCCTAGAATGATGGAGAAAAAAGTACTTTAAAATACCTTATTTTACTTGTGCCCCATAACAAAGCATGAGGAGGGTATGCTTATTGACTCCTGTAGGTGAGGAAACAGGAAGTAACCTGCCCCAAATTGCATCCCTACTGAACGAGGGCCCTGGAGTATGCAATACTACTGACCTCAAAGCCCCTACTACTGTTGGCCGTCTTCCCTTTTACCCTGTACCTGATTTCTGCTGAGCCTCTGCTGAGCTCTGGAAAAGACAAATTCATGAAGTATACGTGGTCTCGGCCATAATTTAATAAGCTATAAATTAATATTTCTGAGAAAAAGAACTGTAAAGTAAATTGTGTAGTGGAGCTACAATTAAAGTGAATGCTTTTGAGTAAATCCCATAATCCCTTTCATTTTCAGAATACCTGCTTCATGCCAGGCCTTGGTTTGTGTATTTTATATAGAGAGAGTCTCTTCAGCCTCACACCACCACGCGGGCTGTGTTTTACTGCCATTTTGTAGATGGCACAATTGAGTTTGTCGTTGTTAAGTAACTTAGCGCAAGGTCATCCAGCTGATACCTTCTGTGTGTCCATGCTGAGTTCACTTTGCCGCGTCATTTTCTTCACTGGCAAATATATGAGAATGAAGGTTGCACGTGGAGACTGGAGACTCTCTGTGGGATAAAGAAAGCCCACACAAATGTTATTGGTAGTAATTATGCTCATTATTGCTTTGTGCTGCCATTTTGAAGCTCTGCCCTCTACCGGGTCTTGGGACTTTTCCATAAATTGTATCAGAATACAAAGAGAATAGAAATGAGAAGGCGTTACATAATCAAGGTCAGATGAAGAGTGTGTAGGCCACTCTCCCCAAACAGGTACCAAATCCCCAAGATGCCAGAAAACAAAAGGTTAAAAACTGAATGTGGAGAAAACCTGCGGGAAACCCTTGAGAGAATGGAGGTGGTGGGCCTCATGAGCAGGGGTGGGAAGCAACAGCCTGGGAGAGATGGGGCTGCGTGGTTCTAGCCTCTCCTTCCCAGTGCATTGGGCAGCTGCACGCTGAGGGCTTCGGTCTGAACCACAGGGTCAGAGTGACTTACGGGAAAAAGGCGTCCTCGTGGTGGTGAACACGGGCTTGCTGGTGGAGTGCACAAGCGGGTCACAAGGAGCTCCGTGAAAGGACAGCTGTGGAAGAGCTCTCCCGCCCCCCTGACGCCCTGCCCATCACATCTTTGCTCTTGCTCTTTCTGCTACTAGGCAGGAACATGCTAACTGGATGAGGTGTGGGGAAACAGGCAACAGCGGTGCCCAGCCAGGGGCAAAGCAGGTGTAGACGGGCTGGTGGCCCTGAAGCAGCGGCCCTGTACCACATAACCTCAGCGCTGGCTGAGCCCACCGTGTGTGATTCAGGCTGCTGCCCGAGAGTTCAGTGGGCTGGCAGAAAGGGGGTGGAGGTAAATGGCAGCTGTAGAGGCGGCACTGGGAGCGGAGGCGTGGGATCCCCTCTGCCTAAATCCATGGCCAGAAATAGGATCCATATGCGGCGGATTCCCACATGGCTTCTAATGGCAGGTAGATTTGCTTCTTTCACGCCAGCTTTCTGTCAGGCCTTAGCTTAGTCGTATCACACCATTCTATAACTGCCCGTATTCACACCATTTTATAACTGCTCGATTGTGTCTCCAGATAGACTGCGTTCCTGGAGGAAAGGGTCACATCTTCTTCTTATAGTACATCACCTGGCACAAAATAGGTGCACAAGAAATATTTGCTGAACGAATGAAAGATGGTCTTGGAGCTTACTTTGGAGAGGTAGCTTTCAATCCCAGCTCTTTCTGACTTGAGATAAATCTGTGGTTTTTGCAATAGGACTGAGTGTATGCATAGCAGTAGGGAAAAAACATCAACTTTTTCCTCAAATCCACCTCCTGGAACCCAAGAAGATTTCTTTAATTGGTTTTTATCAGTACTCCCAGATTGTTCCCTAATAGGATCAAGAGAGAAGTGTCAGGCTAGGTTTGGTAATATAGACTCAACATTGACAAATCTCCTGTGTAGCTCAGAATAATGGCTTACACATTAGAAATGCTGACAGCTTACTATAATTAGGTGTGTTTCTGAGAACCAAAGGTAGATTCTGGAGTTTTTTTCCTAATTTTCTTATATTAAAATATAAACCGTATCTTCCCAGGAATTGGGAGTGATTGAGTTACTGTTGTTCAAGTATTAGGCTCCCTGTTAAATATTCCAAAATCATGGCTGAGCTGCTATTGCTTCGTTGACACCCAGAACAACTTTAATTTAAATAAATGTGGCCAGTTAATCACTTATTTTTCTTTTCTGGGTTTTTTTCTATTTGGATAATTTTATTGCTGTTAGAAAAGCTGTTAAGAATTATGGAACAATATCCCATTGAGCCCCCAACTGAGCAGAGTAAAAATTGGTTGGGTGCTCTCTTATACAACTAGAAGTGTTTTATGATTTCAGGAACAGGGATAGGTTTTTTCCTAACTTACCCCTAGAGAAAACACTCCTCTACTTAGCTGGCTAGGCATTTATAGTGGCATTATTTGAACTGCTGCTTTGTTATTGAGAACACTTAGATGGTCCAGAGAAAATTTATCTAGGGGCAGTGATGACAAAAATTACTTCCAGGGTGAGTTATAAATGATCAGATAATTAGGGAATCAGTCTAATGTAGGATGATGGTAGTTGAAAAAGCAAGTGGATAATATTTTTTAACTGGTTGGGAGATTTTTAAGGAAGAAGAACAGAGCAGGAGTCCAGAAACCTCCTTCCAGACTCAGTTCTGTGTCTTGTCTTTGTGGTCTGCAAAATGTACCACCTCTGCCATTGATTGCTTAGGGTGGTTGTGAGCCTTGATTAAACAGCAACAGGGGAAGAGCCAAACACTGCCCTGTAGACGTGGTCTTCTTGTTGTTACTTTGTTCTGTTTTTGTTGTTGCTCTTTTTGTTATAGGCTGATCCCAAAGGGCTAATCAAGATGGTCACCAGGCATGTGACTCGATACGGACATGAAGCCTGGCCAGAGGACCTGGTCTCACTGACCAAGCAGTTGCACTACTACAACGAACGTCTCTTGGATTTCACTCAGGCTCAGATCCTTCAGGGCCTTCGGAAGGGTGTGGATGTGCAGCGTTTTACTGCCGACGACCAGTACAAAAGGGAAACTATCCTTGGTTTAGCAGAGTAAGGGGATGCCTTTGTCTCATAAAGGGATGGATTTAAAATATAAAAGGGGGTGCCTGGGTGGCTCATTTGGTTAAGCATCCGACTCAGGTCATGATCTCAGGGTCATGAGATGGAGCCCCACATCAGGCTCCACATTCAGCAGGGAGTCTGCTTGAGATTCTCTCCCCCTCCCTCTCCCCTTCCCCGGCTTCTCTCTCTCTCTCTCTAATTTTTCTTTGTGGGTATGGAATGCCCCTTGGTTTTAATACTGGTCTCCATTTTTTAGTTTAGATCAAATGAGAATTACTTACATGTCAGAAGGTGGAGAAAATGGGGGGGGGGAAGAAAAAACAAACTTAAAAAAAAAAAAGGTGGGAAAGTGTGTTCACCCACAATGGTTATTGCGAAGATATTCGCAAGTTTGTGGAGTGCTTACCATGTGCAAGGAGCTGTGTTAGGTGCTCTGTAAACTATTTTATAAATACCGCTTAATCCTCAAAGATAAGCCCATGACATAAAATGTCATCCCCATTTTATAGCTGAAGAACATGAGACTTTAGAGTATTGAGTAACTGGCCCAAGTTTACACGGGTGGTAGGATCATCACTGGGACGTTGACCTTGACCTCTCACATAACAAAGCCATCCCATCGTCACAGTGCCCTGTGGCCGCCCCCCTACTGCCTGGTTGTGTTCCCAGGAAAGCACCGGCATACAGTTCAGTCGAGGCTTCCAGCCTTTGAAACTAAGGTTAAATTGTGCCTATATTTAATGGTTATCCTTCCCTCCTGGTACATTACTTTAAAATAACAAAGATAGCCCTGCTTATGAAAGTGATATATGCTATTTTTCATTATTATTATTTAAATCTTTAAGAAAGTGGCAAAATAGCCTTGGCACTCTGTAATAAGTTTATTTTAGCCCGAGCTTCTTTCCTACCAGAAGACACCCCAGATTCTCTTTAGAGTAAGGCAGGGAATAGAGAGATCAAAGAAAAGATAGAAAATCTGTCACAGGATTTAGTTTAATTAAGAGAACTACGGAATCACTTTTTCTTCACCCCTCTGTTCTTGTAGAGATTAATAATTTCATAGAGTCATTTAATGTCTAATTGGAAAGTGACCAAAGAGGTCATTTAATCCAACCTCCTCACTTTTGGAAGAGGAATCTGAAAATCAGCTTTAAAGAGTGGTTCAGGGTCACACAGCCAGGGAGGTGAGAGCCTCAACTTCCCATTGCCAAGTCCAGTGGGCTTTTCCTCCAGGCATTCGGTAATCCTTGGGGCCATGCTCATGGCTTCTTAGAAGAGGGTTATTATGTAGAATAAAGGTTACAAGGTAAGGCACATCTTAACATCATCTATTACATTTTGCTAGGGTTATTGTCCCTGATTTTTTTTTTTTTAAATATCCAGCTAGTGTATGCTATTTGGAGTATGTTGATGAGGACAAAGACCTGCTTTTGACAAACATATAATAGAATCTTCTTACTTGGAAGAAGTACTTAGACAAATGTACAGCAGCTTTTGAATGGCTTGTTTAAAACGTCTGAGTGTCCGCAGCATTTCTGAGCTAGCAGTTCTGATTTAGAGACAGGAGTTGGGCATCTTACAAACGAGAACCCGTGAAGCACCTGTTCCTCCTGGTTTGCTGCTCTACCTTCAGCTGTACGCGATGCCACCATTCTTCATTTTCTTACTAATGTGTGTCTGTTTTTCACGGCATTTGTATTCTGTAAGTGCAGCGTGTCTGTCCTCTGTTCCCTGTGTAGCTTACACGATAGGTCGGCACTGGTTAGTCAGGCTAACCTTGGAGAGGACACAACATAGCGTGGTTTCTTCCCACCTTTATCGGGTGGTAATGGTATCCATACCTGGTGAGCACGCTCGTGTGCTCAGGCAACATCTCAGACTCCCCTAACAGAAAGGATGAATTGCTAACGGTTGCCATCCTCGGGGATTGCTCATTCCATCATGGTGAGGTGAAGGTACTCAATAAGTACTTTGAGAAATTTTAATTGACAGTGCCTTAGTAATTCTTGCCATGACAGACTTATTCCACCCCTGGGCCTCTTTTTTATAGTCCATGAGCAAAGGATGGCTTTTACATTTTTAAAGGTTTGTGGAAAAACAAGAATAAAAAAATAGTAGGAATTTGCTACAGAGACTGTATGGCAGCAAAGCCTGAAAGATTTATTAACTTGCTGTTTACAGAAAATGTCTCCCAACTCCTGGCTAATCAAACATCTAAGAAAATGTCCTGATTTTCTTTGCTAGGGTGTATGTAGTCTTAGCAGTATTACTTAATAAGAAGAGAGATTTCATTTCTGTGCCTGTGGTTCTGTCCACCAATCCTCCAACCAAGAATTGGTTCTGCTTGGGGATTTAGGGGTCCCGTGATGGTCTTTATGGAATGGCTTTAATGTGGGCACCTGGCCCGGAATTCTTGATATATCTAGAGGGCCTCAAGTTTGGTGGCCCCATCCCCTGATTTAAACCTTCCGCTGGCTCTTCCATTGCTAAAGGATAAGGTGCAGACCCCTTGGCTGACTTCTCCTCTGCCTTCTCTCTCGGAACTACCTTGCCGCTGTTTTGCTTGTTTATCCTCCAGACTTCAAGCTCAGATCGGTCACTCGCTCATCTCTGCTTGTCAGTATTGGAAGTCCTCTCTGGTGGCGGTCCCCGTGTTGTATTTAATTGTCGGTTCACATCTCACATCTTCCACTAGGGCTGTGCTGGGAGTTTCTTAGGAAGTATCTTGTTTGTCTTTATGTCCTAAGCAGCTAGCCCAGTACCCGGCGCTAGAAAACAAACGATTGTTGAGAGGCGAACTCTGCTTTCTTGTATCCCTGCCCTGCAGTTATGTATCTGTTTCCTTTGCACTGGTTTTTGACTGTAGGCTCTGGGGTCTAGACCAGAATTTTTCCACTCTCTGTACATTTTGGACTGGATAATGCCTTGTGGGAGAGCTGTTCTGGGCATTGTAGGGTGTCCCACAGCATTCCTGTCTTCTACCCACTAGATGCCAATAGCACTCTCCTCTTCTCCTGCCATGATAATCAGACACTGTCAGATGTCCCTGGGGGCACAGCATCCTCCTCAGGTGAGAACCACTGGTCTAGACCGTTCCTTGGTCAGTTGCAATGCACCACAGTGAAAGCAGAACATTAGAATTCCTTGGACATACTTTTCCTGAATTACTGTGAAATGTCTTATTAAGGACTGTGCCGACCGCACCCCTCACAGCTGGAGAGAGTCCTAATGAACATTTTCTTTGCTGATTAAGGTAATGTGTTTCTCTTCTCTCCCTCCCCCGTGGCTGATGGACATTCTTGAAGAACACTCGAGGAGAGCGTCTACAGCGTCGCTCTTTCTCTGGCGCAGCGTTACAGTGTCTCCCGTTGGGAGGTTCTTATGACCCATTTGGAGTTCCTGTTCACCGACAGCGGGTAAGCATACGATTCATATGTACATTTATTGCCATGTCTGTTTTTTCAGATTCCATTTAGAAGGATCTTGAAGTCGTAAAGTACAATTTCACCTTCCCTTTTGAGCTACAGTAGACCAATATCTGGACATTCTGTCTTTATATGTTTCTGATACACATTTCAGTATTACAACAATAGCTTATTATTTTTTGCCTTTCAGTAATAATAGGCCTGAGTTACATTAATATTCGTGCATTTATTCAGAGGTTTTTTTGTTTTTTTTTTTTTTTTTTTTACTGAGAATCTGCTGCATACGAGGAACAGTGGTAGACACTTGGGTTACAGTAGTTAGCAAAAACAGGCATCCCAGCTGTCTTGGAACTTGTTGTCTAGTGTGGGAGACAAGACTGTCAATGAATAATGAGAGACAAATGTGAAATTAAAACTGTGACAAGTACCACAGAAGAGAGCCCATATAGGGGATTTGGCGTAGTTAAGGAAGACTTTCCTGAGGAAATAATGCTAAAGCTGAGATCTAAATATTGCATCACAATTATGTACACTGCAATGAGAAGGAAACCATTTTCTAGGGAGACAAAGACAGTTAAGTGCTAAAGCTTTTGACAGGAAGTAGCATGATGCATATGAGGGCCTGACAGGTGGACAGTGTGGCTGAGGTCCAGAGAGTCGGGGGAGCTCAGTGTGAGATGGCTCTGTGGAGAGGCCTAGAAGCCAGGCTGTGGGCAAGACTGCAGGCCTCTCACACGAGTCCTAGGAGACTACTAAAGTAGTCTCTAAAAGAGAGGGAGGTAATAGGATCAGGTCTACATTTTGATAAGATCACTTTGGCTCCCATGTTGAGAAAAAATTTTAGGGAGATCAGTGCAGGCATACAGAGACCAGGTAGGAAGCCGTTGGAGTAATAGACTGTGACTTTCAGAGATATCTAGAAGGTGAAATGGTTAGTACGAAATGCAATGATCGATAAGGACCAACTAGATCTGAATTCGGCGAGAGGAGAAGGGTCAAGATCAGCGCCAGGATCTTACTGGGGCTCCCTGTTGGGTGCTGACATCCTTCGGTGAGACAGGTAGCCCTGGTTACAGACAAGACATTTTGAGGGGAGTGTGAGGAAAAGGCAAGGAATTGGGCGAAGTTACACACTGAAATGCCCAAGAGGAAAGGTCATGCAGACAGCGGATCTTACTGCTCTGGAATTCGAAAGAGAGGGAGGAGCCGGAGATCCTAACTGGGAGTTACATGCACATAGATGATAAATAAGCCATGTTGTGGGTGCACTTTGGGAGAGTGTATGGAATGAGAAAGGAGGGAGACCTGAGACACACCTTGAGGACCCTCCACAATTAATGGCAGATAAGGGGCTGCCAGCAAAGGGGACAGGAGAGCGCAGCCGAGAGGAAGGAGGAAAGAAATGGGGCATCCTGCGGGAAGAAAGAGTTTAAGGAAAGGGAGGGAGTATTGAGTGGGGCACGTCCTGCTGAACAGTCAAGGACTGCTTATAATTCAGCATCTTTAATTTTTATTACATCTTTAAAGTGTCAGCATCCACATTTTAAGTGTTTGTGAAGTTGCCACACGGGGGCGGTAGTGTTTCCTGTGGCAAATACCGCGCAGGCTTCGCCTCTTTGAAGCATAGTAATACGTTCAAGTAAATGTTTCCTTCGCGTATTGGCCTCCAGTTAAGGGTCTGTTTTCTTTCGTTGAATGTTGCGTACAAGGCAGCCACATCCGCGCAAGCAGGGTGCTCCGCTGGTCCCTGAGCACATTATGCATTACCAGGCAGCCTAGTAATGTGCAAGCCTGTTCACAGCATATCAGTACGGCTGATAGCAGTGCGATTACGCAGACGCAGCAGTTACGGAAGCGGGAAATCATCACCTCCTGGCGTCATCACCTTTGAGCGACGAAGCACCTGATACTGATTTAGAGGTGGTATTTACGAGTGCCTCTCGCCCTTCACTTAAAAGATGGCGTTTGCCGTACTGTTTAATCAGACCCAGGGACAGAGGTTTTGGAACCAGCCTTGTCAATACGGTAGACATTGCCCGGCACCCATTCGTTGAGTCACTGCCTGTGGGGAGGTAACAGATCAGAGTTGTAAGAAAAATAACGGTCTTTTCCTTAAGACTTTGTTTTCCTATCCCTTTAAAAAGCCACTTTCCCCACCCGGTGGAGAAAATATTTTTCTCTATTTTCCATGCTCTCTCCTGTTGGTGGAATTCTGGAATGTTCCCCGTGTCAGCACACGTCCCGGGACGTGCGCGCCCACAGTCTTCAGGGAGGTGGCATACGCGACAGAGCGTAGACCTTCAGATCAGGCTGGCTAGGTCAAACCCGACTGTCTCTCTCTAGCTGTGTGCCCCTACGCAAGATAATCCAATTCTCTGAAACTCATTTCCCTTAACTCTGAGGTGTAATAAAAATTAAATGACTTCACGGTAAAGTAGCAAACCTATGTTCCTGTCACACGATCGGTGCTTCATTAATGGCAGTTTTTCCTGCCATTTCACTCCTCTGTGAAGGAGATCATCCTCATAAACACCCGTACTTGAACTCTGGTCTCCTTTGCCCCCTTATTTTTCCTCCATGTTTGTTCTTCTTGATAGTGTGGAACGTCCATGATGGCTTTGAGTGGGCCTGTGGACCTGGCGTCCCTTCCAGCTGGCAGACACTGGCTTACCCAGCCTCCTCTTCTCCTGGGGCTTGTTCAGGGCTGATGCATCCTGAGTAGCCAGCATCCCTTCCGGGCTGTTCGGGACGCTTTGGTGGGTCTTACCTCAGTAACTACCAGTGTATGTGTGGCTTAGCGTGAGGGCATGGGTGTTGGAGTCAGGCCACATTTCAGGGTCCAGATCTGCCCATAACCCCAACTGTGTAGCTGTGATTGAATCACTGTTTTCTCAGTTATCTGACCCTTATGCTTACCTTGTAAGATTATAAAGATTAGAGAAAAATCTGTGGAAGGTATATAGCTGGGTGGCCCTGTAATACTGTTGCATTATTCCTGTTACTGTTCTTGTCGATTCTGACTCCATGAGTGTCTTTAAGTTTTGGACACAAGAGCATTTTTGGAATACCAGAGGCTGCTTCTAGGTGATTGAGTAGTACCACATTTGTTTGTTCATTTAATATTTTTATAGTGTCTTCCTATTCTAAGCTTAATTTTAAGTGCTGGGTACATCATTACCCTCGTAGAGCTTATATTCTAATAGGGGAGACCCCCACACACACCCCCAAGACACACACACACACACTTACTTAAAAATAGCCCAGACCTAAATTGCTAGTCATGGTGAATCCCATAAAGGCAATGCCCAAGGCCGAGGGTTCTGGGGCCAGGAAGGTCTTGGAATAGCTACAGGAAGACCACTGTGGCTGGAACATATGGTGCCTCTGAGCACAGGAGAACTAGATAAGGGCCAGAACTACCTTTGACTGTCATCCTTGATGACACCCTCCATTTTCCCCCTTCTTAGTTAAATAACAGAGCTGAAGGCCACGAATCCTGCACTTTCAATTCACTCTGATAGCCAGCCACCTTTTAGTCACCCGGGTGATTACCCAAGGGATTTTGCTTGGGTGTCTGAGATCATGATACCGTCTTCTTCTCTGTTGGTTGGTGTAGTACTGTCTCCTTTAGACCCATGGCTAGGGCCCCTGGTCACAGGGAATCTGACTGTGCACTGCTGTTTTCCACAGTCAGTTTCATATTCTCTGGTAGGATTCTTTTGGTCTCAGGTACAAGGATGAGCAAGGGCAAGTTATAGCTGTGGGAAGATGAAAACACTGTAAGGTGTCTGCCTTTTTTACGAATTAGAAGATGCACAGGACCTGTGCCCCAGGGTTGCTGCTGCTGAGAGTGGGGATTGTGTCCAGAGAGCCACTTTGTAAAGGATGCTGAATTCTGGCTTTTCTCCCATCTCCTCCACCCTTAAGCAAGCCTGGCATAGTTGAGGAGGTAGTGTGAGAATAGTATGGAGTGGGGATTTAAGGTAGCTCAGCTTGTTAAAAGTAGGTCATAATGTTGAAAATTAAGATGAAATAAAAACTCAGGACCAGGAAAAATCCATATTAGAGGAGGAGGGTTGAATATAGATGTTCAGGTCATGGGTTTTATAGAATTGTTCGATTTGGTTTTGATCTTTCTTTTGGCCTAAGGGGGGAGGAGATCATGACCAAGACTGTGATTTGCATTGTGCATAAGAAGAAACCTACCATTCCTAAAAATGGAAGAACTAATTACCACTATTACTAAATTGGAAGCAACTCCTTCCTTACATCTGTAACCTTCCTTTCCATGTTGTGATCGTTAAGGTCACTTCTCCCCCAAAGAGTAAGAAGCTCCTGACGCTGGCATAAAATGTAAGCAGGAAAATGCATCTTGGCTTATTTCCATCTTGTGGAAAGTGCTCAGGCTTTGAATCCTGCACGTCTGGGTTCAAACCCTGGCTCTTTGACTTGTATGCCAAGGTTTCCTCATCTGCAAAATGGGTGTTCTCATTCCATTTGGCAAAACTGCTGTGGGATTTAAGAGATTTATACAAAACACCTGACATGTAGTAGATGCTCAAAAAAAAAAAAAAAATAGCTACTATTATGACTTCTGGAAACAGATCATATGTGCCGAACCCATCCTGTGACCACTGTTAGCCTAACTTTGCACATCTGATTCTTGAACAATTATTTCTCAAGTCAACACTGACATTAATTATAAGGTATCTGCTTTGTGAGAAGTGAGATGACATGATACTTAATGCCTAAGTGCTCAATACATGGTGCCTATTACTATTTCTGTGCCATGGTGTTTTTTAAAATATTTTTTGTTAGGTTATAATGTGAGACTGTACAAACCAGTCAGAATTTGAGGGGTTGGGATTGTCACTAGAGAGGAGACGAAGCCTGACCTCATGGCTTGCCCCGTCATACTCAGGTCATATAAAACATTCCACAAAGAGGGCTGGCTCAGTCAGTTAAGCGTCTGCCTCTTGGGTTCAGCTCAGGTCATGTTCTCAGGTTGTGAGATTGAGCCCTGCATTGGGCTAGGTGCTGGGCATGGAGCCTGCTTAAGATTCTCTCCCTCTCCCTCTGCCCCTCCTCTGTCTGTCTCTCTACCTCTCTAAAACAAAACAATCTGAAACAAACAAAAAAACTTAAGTAAGGGCGCCTGGGTGGCTCAGTTGGTTAAGCGACTGCTTTCGGCTCAGGTCATGATCCCGGAGTCCCTGGATCGAGTCCCGCATTGGGCTCCCTGCTCAGCGGGGAGTCTGCTTCTCCCTCTGACCCTCCCCCCTCTCATGTGCTCTCTCTCTCTCATTCTCTCTGTCTCAAATAAATAAATAAAATCTTAAAAAAAAAAAAAAAAAATTAAGTAAAAATAAAACATTCTGCAGAGGATGTCACCGAGTATTCGTATGACAAGAAATAGAGATACTCATTATTGGTCATCCCATCAGCTCTGTAGGTGAACTTAGAAAGTTAAATTCCATTTTTCAGGGCGCCTGGGTGGCTCAGTTGGTTAAGCGACTGCCTTCGGCTCAGGTCAAGATCCTGGAATCCCGGGATCGAGTCCCGCATCGGGCTCCCTGCTCAGCGGGGTGTCTGCTTCTCCCTCTGACCCTCTTCCCTCTCGTGCTCTCTGTCTCTCATTCTCTCTCTCAAATAAATAAATAAAATCTTTAAAAAAAAAAAATTCCATTTTTCAGTTTGCAAAGACACTTGGCCAAAATGTTGGCAAAACTGAAAAATTCCATGATTATTTTTGACCTCATTTTCTCCTTCAGTCCCATGTTCAGCTGTCAGGCAGCATTGCAGATCAAGTCAGCCACATCGAGTTCATTCTGAGGCATTTGTGTGGTGAATAGCTTGGATTGTTTCCCTCACATCAGAGGGAAACTTCGAGGGTAGAATTGTCTCTTTCCACAGGCATCTCTGGGGGAACCCTTTTCACCCATGATCGTGGTCATTGATTTGGACCCATATGTCTTTAAACTTGTAGGATTAGTCTTTGGGGGAAATGCCTGTTAGTTGCTACATATGGATTCTGTGAAGCCCTACCCCCATCCCTTTCTGTCCGTCTTTCCCAGTTACCCTCTCCCTCCTCCTACCCCACTGTTATTCCTCCTCCTCCCCCTCTCCTCACCTCATTCAGGTAATGGAACTGTTATCAATCAGTCTCAGACTGAGTAAAGAAAAAGGTGTTTAAATAAATTTGTTTTCCTATACAAATATAAGTTCTTTCAATACATGGTGTTCTTGAATCACAGTTCTGAGTGATTGACAACTTGAAGCCATTACAGAACACTAATCAAAGGATTAGTGCTCATAATTTATTCCTTGTGCATTGGGAACAACTAATGCTAGTTTCTTCCTGTAGTTAATCTCTAAAAGTTAAATATGCACCATATTATATAAGCTGCTTTATAGCTAAAACTTGGCTCCAGAAAAAGCACTTAAAACAGTTTTTAAGGGTAATCATTAATTTGATTAGTGAAAAGTCCATAGTGGTTTCATGGTATTTCTTCCTACTCTCCTGAATATGGGTTCTTTGGAATTGTTTTCTAAGCAGAGATTTCATTTCTTGTTCCAAAGGGAAGATAACAGCTTCTTTCAATGGAAACTATTAAAATGGGTTATTGATTACTGGCATCTATGAAAGATCTTAGCACATTGTAATTTACTGAAGAGGGAGGTTTTGGTATTTATCATATGTCAGTAAAGGTATTCCAGTATCTGTCTTGACAAGATAATTAGGTAAAATTGTACATCGGGCAAACTGAATTGTAGGCACAGAAGAATAAGTGGGTGGGCAAGGGGGAAAGTAATGCTGATTGAGAGAGACTATATTCAGAATGAAGCCAAACGCCAGTGAACCAAAACTGTGATAGTTTAGTCACTGTCCATTTTGTAGATGAGACTGTCTTGAGTATTCTGTTTATCGGGGTGTTAGGAATGAAGTATGACAGGAGAACTCTTTTAGAGTAATGCTGCTGGGAGAGAGAGCTAATGTCTGTGTTACAGAAAACAGTCCTGTTTCTGGAATGGTTGGTAGTGCAGGCGCTCGACCTTCGTCAGTCGATGGCTGCTTTGTGATAAGCCGAGCAGAACGCACACAGGGTCCAAACAGATGTGGACCCTTGGTCCTAGGCGAGTCGCTTAACCTCTCTGATGGCAGTTTCTCATCTGTAGGTTGCTAATTACGTAGATTTAGCTTGCCTTGCATAGTAATCAGCGTCATAACTGCACGTGTGTTCTCCCCTTCCATCAGGCATGCCGTCTGCCTGCAAATCTTTGTTAGTACGAACTGTCTTAATGGGGTGACGTGGTTTCTTATTTACTTTTTCAGACTTCATTTTGCAAATTATGCAGAAACATAACAAATTCTATGAATCACTTTCATATACCACTGTGCATACAGTGTCTTTCAGAGATGATGTTGCATACTTTGCATAGTAATTGTATCAAGAATATTTTCTGGCCAGCCATTCATTTACATTCCGTGTTTGTTGCACAGGCCTCGTGCTTTCTTGTCTTGATACTTCTGTGATATTATTTTGCGTCATGCCTTTTGACAGTGACAAGCTCAAGCACTTCCTTCATTAAGACTTCTGTTAACATTGACAGCCATGTCCTCTGAAGTTACAGCTTTAGTGATCCCACTCTTAATGGGAGTATGATTGTGTGGCCTTTGTCCATCCATACCATTATTTTGCATTGTTGTTTAAGTACTTATAGCTCAACCAGATTTTCAAACCACTGGATGAGAGCTCTGTGTTGTAAACCTTTATGCCCTCCCTGGTGCTGAGCACAGTGCCTGGTCCATGGAGGACACTTAAGTTTTTGTTCATCCACCCATCTATTTGGCATTCAGAAGACACATGTTGAATGTTTCCTTTTGACCACACACTAGTGCTTGGAACTGAGAAACTAAAGATAAGGAAGATGTGGTATTATCTTTGCCATCGAGTGATCTATAGTCTAGTAAGGGAGACATAGAAGGTAATGAAAAGCTAAAGCATGTTACGAGTACCAGAATAGAAGGATGCTCAGAGGACGCAGCCAGGGAAATTTTTATAGACCAGGGACGTTTTTATACATAGGGATATTTATGTAGATGTTTGAATTTTGTCTTAGCAGAAAAACAGCATTTCTCTTGAAGTGACAGGTTAAAAGAGCATTTTTTAAAAAATTACTTGATGTTTTCACTTTGTGGATTGCTGCTGTTATCCCACGTATTATCACACACTTGCAAAAACTTTAAAACATAATTTATATTAACTTTATCTCCAAAAACCAAAAACGTGTCTCGGCATTTTCTAAAAATGGGAGTTCCAATAAATAGGGTATCGTATTCCAGAGGAGTTGCTTTTCAACTGTAAGTAATCTAACTTTGGTACTGCCAGAAGTCTCACTAGCTGCCCCCACATATGTTGTTTGCCACTGCTGAGGGCCCTGGAAATGTGGCATTTCTAGGAGTACTGAGGGCTGCCTGAAGGACTCTGAAAATTAGAGTTTGAAATTTATTCTGCATGGGGCATCGGGGTTACACTGGACTGGAGGCATTATATTCTGTTCAGGGTGAAGCCAAGACTAATATTAAGTCCCCCCCCCCCCAATAAAAACTGATCAACCAACCAAAACTCCTTAAAATTTTTTTTCAATAGTTTAAACTTAAGTGACCTTTTTTTTTTTATTATAGTATAAAGGCATCTAAGTCAGGATGAAAAGATCAAGATACGTGTTTTATTCAAATGGCATTCATTAATTCAAGTGAAAGCACATGCATCTGTTCTTACCTATTTTAATTCTGTTTGAACACAGTTATCAAATTTGGATCTATGGAATAGCAATTCAGGGCTCTTGGATGTGAAACTTAAATGCCTCAAAGTTGGAGCTGTTTCTTCCCCTCACCATTTCCTAAATTCCTGAAATAATAAGGTGGTTTACATTTCTATAATGAAGCTCAGATTTTAAATGCTTCTTATGACATAAATAAACAATGCATCATGGAGGCTGACAAGTCTGGGTTCATTTCCGGGCTGGTACGCATTGGGGGACTCTCCCATCTGAAGGAATGTGAAGTCATGCCTACTTCACGGGGTTGCCGTGACCCACATGAGATAACATGAAAATTGTATAATAGTAGGCATTTAACACGTCTCTTTCCCTTAATGTAAACTGCTTGCCTCCTGGTGGTTTACTGAATTTGATTGGCGGGAAGAAGGGACTTTGTAAGAAGCAACCTTTCTTCTTCAGTATTTAAAAAAAAAAAAAAAAAGAGCACATTGTTCAATAAAGGGACCAAATCTTAACACAATTTCTTTGCCCTAATTTCAGTTTGTCCACAGTAGAAATTGAAAATCGAGCCCAAGCCCTTCATCTCTTTGAGACTTTGAGGACTGATCCAGAAGCCTTTCACAAGCACATGGTCAAGTATATTTACCCCACGATTGGTGGCTTTGATCACGAAAGGTTGCTGTATTATTTCTCTCTCCTGGAAAGCTGCGGCTGTGCGGATTTGGGGAAATGTGCCATTAAACCAGAAACCCACATTCGGCTGCTGAAGAAATTTAAGGTAGTTGCTTCAGGTAAGATGATCATTTCCCTGCTCGAACTCATTCTTTAAATTAAATCTAAGGATTAATTTTTTGTACACAATCATGTTTGTGCATTGTGTCTGGCATAGATCTGAAACCACAAGATACAACGCTAATTGACTTTTGTTATCTTTCCAGCTCCTTTACTTACTGTTGAAGGAATTAAATAGCAAAGAAACTATAAGAAACCTATTGGAAGCCACATAGTAACTTAGAGTAGGCCTGGTACTAAAATCCGAAGTTTTTGACTACTCCTCCAGAGGTTTATTCCCTACTCCCAGGGGTTATATTTTGCCTTATATAAAGGACAAGGCTGAGACCCTTTACAATTGGCAGTCTGGCATAATTTCACTTCACTGGAGCCTCTAAGTTTAAAGTGTGTGTGGAACCCTTCAGATAAGTGCCTTTGAACCTTTGATACATTGTGGAAATCTTTAGGATGGTATCCGTGTCTCTTTATGCTCATAACTAAGGAAGTCAACATATTAATACCTCTCCAGTCTGTGTGGTGCTTTATAACTTACAGGGCACTTCGAAATCTATATTCATGTGATACTGGTAACAGTCGTGAGAATTGACTTCCGTTTATCAGTGGTTTACTGAGTAACCGAATTAGAAACTGGACCATTAGAAACAGAGGAAAAGGAGTAAGATCCAACCCCTGCCTTCGGGCCTTCGGGTAGTGGAGGGGAGGCCAGATGAACATCGGGTGACCAGAAGGCAGTGCGGTGAGTGGGCTGGTGGAAGAAACCGTGGGTGCCACGCCTCCAGTGCCCCCTTGAGGCGGTCCGTGGACGAGTTGACTCCACGGCCCATGACCCTGCAGGCCGAGATTGGCGCTCAGGTCTTCTGACCTGTGTAATCAACAGACTATCCACTGTAAACCGGGAGATGAACTTTTCCCTCCAGCCACACAGAGGGCTATGGATGTGTGTGAAAGCTCTTGGAATGAACCTACTCTCTGTTTTTTTTTCTTTTCTTTCCATTAGGTCTTAATTACAAAAAGCTGACAGATGAAAACATGAATCCTCTGGAAGCACTGGAGCCCATTCTTTCAAGTCAAAATATCTTATCTATTTCCAAACTTGTTCCCAAAATCCCTGCAAAGGATGGGCGGATGCTTTCCTCGAGCTCTCTGTACACCATCTGGTTACAGAAGTTGTTCTGGACCGGAGACCCTCACCTCATTAAACACGTCCCAGAGTCCTCCCCAGAGTGGCTCCACGCCTATGAAGTCTGCATGAAGTACTTTGATCGCCTCCCCCCGGGCGACCTCATCACTGTGGTGGATGCAATTACGTTTTCTGCAAAAGCTGTGACCAAGGTAACTGAAAAGATAGCTTACAGTGCATTGGATGCTTTAGAAGAAATGAAAATTGTTTGTTTTTATTTACTTTCTTGAGATGGAGAATACTTACATGTTTGACGTTTTAGTTTTTTTGCTAAGCGTGAGGTATTCTAATTGGGAAATCATTTTCTTCTATCACAGATGTGCAAGTCGTCTAAATTAGACTCCGACTGTTCTCATTTACATGTACATTTTGTACATGTTACAGTTCTCCTATGTCATTTTATAGTAAATATTCCATCCTGTTCTTTGCAGTTCATAAGTGGGAAATACCTCCAGCACTCAGCCCACCGTGCCTGCATTCAGAGGCAGGCCGACAACTTAGCTGTGGTTAAATTGAGCACTTAAAAAATTTCGCATGAATGCCATGTGGTAGTATATGGCTTGGTGATACAATTGTCCATGAAAGTCTCTGTAGACATTCTCTGATGTCTGCTCCATGCTTAGGTCTGAGCCCCTTTAACTGGACTCCAAATCTTGTTCTGGATCCTTCTAACAATGTACAGTTTCACACAGAGTAAATACTGTGGGTCCTTCTCCTCCCCTTCTTGCCCTCTGCTTGGCCACAGGGCACTCTGTCCTCGACAGTCTCCTACCTCTGCTCTCAACTGCTGAGCTCTGTTGCCTTTGGAACTTCCTCTTCATCTGCTTTGCCGCTGCTTTCTCTTTCCCCAAGTTGATCGGCAAGTCCACCCAGTATCTTATCACAAGAATTTTTACTGTGGCTAATATTATCTTGAAAATTTACTGTAAAGGCTAAGAATTCAAGTCATTCATTTGGAGGTTGGCACAGGTAGAGGTTCAAACATCTGTGGGGATTTCTAGTTTTGTTTTATTTTATTTTTTTTTAAAGTCTTTATTTGAGAGAGAGAGTGAGCATGAGCATGGGGAAGAGGGAGAAGCAGGCTCCCCGCTGAGCTGGGAGCCCAATGCGGAACTCCATCCCAGGACCCTGGGATCATGACCTGAGCCGAAGGCAGATGCTCAACTGACTGAGCCACCCAGGTGCCCCAGGATTTCTAGTGCTAACTAACTTGTTAGATCAACAGTTGTGGATAACGAAGGATTTCATGTCCTTATTATTAGAACTCAAGTACTTCAGTTAATAACTTGGTTTTAAATTCTATGAGCACTGCTATGAAAAGGAGATGATCATTTCTGTTGTTTTTAAGGAAGAAACTAAAGATTTCAAAGGGAGATAGCATCATATATTTGAAAAGAGTACAAGTTTCGAGTCCTGTAAACCTGCCTTGAACTTTGAACCTGCCAATTAATAGTTCTGTGGTTTAGACTGAGGAATCTGCTAGACCTCTGTCTCCTTGTGGCTGAGTTATCTGTGGTGCAGATAATATTATTACTCCCATTTTGACAGGTGAGGAAAGTGAGACTCCATGAGCTTAGTTTGATAATAGAGGAGCCACACCCTGAGGTCAGGAAGGCTTTTTTTGAGGGTCTTTGCTCTTAACTGTAGTGTATCTTGTCTCAGAACAAGCAGTTAGAGTCAAGGGCCCAGAGCCATTCTAGGAACTGTGGGAGGGCAGGGACCAGAGAGCCCCAAGGATGTTCACTCCAGTGGAGAAGGCTTTCATGGGATGTGTCCAGAGCAGGGCTGAGTCTAAATGAAGAAGGCCAGGCAGGAACCTGGCAAATATGGGGAAAGATAAGAGTCCAGCAAACACGGGTTTTGAATTTCCCAAGAATGAGAAGAGGGTCACAGTTCTGACTGTGTATGTATTAGCAATGTAGGAAGTATGTATCGAGGGAAGGGAATGAACCAACTAGGGAGTTGAAATCCAAGGAAAAGCCTCTAGAAGTGGGACCGTGAACTGGCTACAGGGGCTAGACAAGCAAACAGACGAGGTGCGAAGCCAGGAAGACAGAGGGTCCTTCACTCCAAGGCCGTTTCCTTCCCCTTATGCTGAAGCAGCTTTTCAGTATTTTATGTGAGGGCAGCAACAAAGACTAGCTCCATGACCAAGGCCATATGCTAATTGTGAGCATGTATATGGACATGGACAGACAGTTCTAGATTTTCCAGCAGCAGTTATTGACTCATGATTAAACTGAAGAGTTGGATGTAGAATCCACTACGAGTGTTCGTTTTTATTTATGATGTTTTAAGTCAGATGTTTGCAGTTACAGCACATTCTCATCACCTTAGTTTCTTACTTATACCTTCAGATATCCTCCCACCACCTGAGAATGTAGGACACAGTTGTTTATGCACATAGGTGCATTTTTCCTGAGGAAGAGATGCCTGGCTGATCCAATAGAGAGCGAGTCAGTTAATTATGTGGCATTGCTTTCTCTTAGTTCAGATGGTATAATCCTTAGCAAGGTACTCTTGTCTAGTAAACTATCTCAAAAGATGGTTTTCTACGGAGTCAGGTAAGCTATAGAAAAGTGAGGCAGAGGCATTTAAAGTTAATTTCACATCTTTAGTCTAGCTTTATGTTTTCCCTCATTTTATTAATTGGCAAGCTTTTAATTTTCCATTGAGAGAGGAAAAATAAAAAGTTTAGATACAAGGCTTGCTTGAAATCACACAATACTGTGCTAGAGCGAGTGAGAGCAAGAGAAATTCAAATTGAAATACAACCCTTACATGTCAGAGGACACATTTGGAAAAGGAAGTGCAACTGGATTTGGCCAAATTTGCAAAACACCAGATGTTCCCACAGCTCCTACATGATGTTAAAAATGTAAAATAAGGAGCACCTGGGTGGCTCAGTTGGTTAAGTGACTGCCTTTGGCTTAGGTCATGATTCTGGAGTCTCCTGGGATCGAGTCCCACATCAGGCTCCCTGCTCAGCAGGGAGTCTGCTTCTCCCTCTGACCCTCCTCCCTCTCATGCTCTCTGTCTCTCATTCTCTCTCTCACAAATAAATAAAATCTTAAAAATAAATAAATAAATGAAAATGTAAAATAAGTGTATACTACTCAAATATAGGGTGCAGTTTTCAAACGTATGCCCACATTTAATTCAAAACCGAACTTATGGAAAGAGCTGGTAAGCTAATTCTAGAGTGTGTAACAAGAACAGCAAGCAGTTGTTTGGATGCTAGAATTCAGACAGGAGTATCTGTAAAGCCCGCTCTTAGTATCCATCCCCTGATGGAATAAAGCAGAGAAGGTCCTTTACCTTCAGGATAATTGTCATTCAGTTGCCATTTGCATTAGTAAAATTTGTGGAAATTCTGAGGAAAATATTCACAACATGGTATGATGTCATGTAGGCAGAGATTGAATTTGCATGACATTTGAGGTGATGAATATGCAGAAGGGAGAATATGAATGTCTGAAGTTTGGAGCATTTGCTCCAAATTGAAATTGTTTCATTTTTGTGGAGTCAGGTAAGAGTTGCTTTCCTATGTCTTTTCCAGTTCAGCAATTAGAAACATTTTTTAGAAGGGACAGAGAGCAAGGTAGTGGGTTAGAAATCCCGGAAAATGGTCAAAGAACCTAAAATTCAGGTCAGAACACTATGTGCTTGGTTCAGATGTGATGTGGTTAGATAAGGGGGACTTCTGTGCAATCTCAGCCTTCATCTTAATCCCAGCCTTTCATGGTCCCCACGCACTCTGGTTGCTGGGAGAGCTGCGTTCATAAGTAAGGACACGGGAAATACCCCTCTCACCTATGAGATGCTCCCCAGGAGTTTGCTTAGGACCTTTCTTCAAAAGCCCCAGAGCGTCATAGAACTAGAAGAGGCCTTCTGTCATCCTGCCTGGTGCTTCTCAACCTGGAATTGGATAGGCATTTACCACCCTCAGCCCAACCCACATGAGCCCTCTGTTCCAGCTCCCACCATTTGTTTCTGATGGGAACAGGCCGTCTCCTTTGGGTTAGAGTGGGAAAAATATTTGGAACCTCTTATCTAGTCTGACCTCTGACCCTCAAGCATCATATCTATTGATAATCCAGCTACTACCCCTTGTGTGTGTGTGTGTTTATGTGTATAAAGGATTTTTCTTTGGGCTTCTTATAGTTTCTACTTTTTGGTTCTGCTTTCTAGAGCTATGGAAACAGCATAAGGGAATCTCTTTTTCATATTATGACTTCTTGAAATAAGCTACTGTTTCTTCCTTATCCTATTATCCAAATTATTTGCTATAAAAATCTGGAAGAGTAAATTTGTCTTAAAAAACATATGACCTAAAAATCAGGGGTGCCTGGGTGGCTCAGTCGTTAAGCATCTGCCTTTGGCTCAGTTCATGATCCCAGGGTCCTGGGATCAAGCCCCACGTCGGGCTCCCTGCTCCACAGGAAGCCTGCTTCTCCCTCTCCCACTCCCCCTGCTCATGTTCCTTGTCTCGCTGTCTTTCTCTCTCTCTGTCAAAATGAAATAAATAAAATCTTTAAAAAATAAAATAAAAATCAAATGTATTTTCTAAGTTTGTCTTAATCAAAGGCTGCAATATAGCAGTAACTTCAGGGTCTTCACAGTGCTAATATTATCTCTTAACGAAGAATGGCAGCACATTTTTCACCATAATAAGCAGTCAGTGTCTGAAACCACTGTAAAAATGTTTAGATAATGCATATTACCTAATTGCATGGCATGATATATGACTTTCTGATGCACAAATCAAATGCATATTGTGTAGATTTCAGACTGAATCACTAAGTATTTAGGCCTTAGCTGTGTACCATATACAATACTAGTTGCCACTGACAACATTAAGATGTAGAAGACATTCCTAAGAAAGTTAAAAAAAATTTTTTTTGAAGATTTTCTTTTTAAGCTGTACACCCTACATGAGGCTCCAGCTCACCACCCCAAGGTCAAGAGTCGCATGCTCCACCAACTGAATGAGCCAGATGCACAAAATGTTTTTTTTTCTTTACAGTAAAATTATTATAATTGAGAATTACACTCCTTATGAAAGCATAAATTCTTTGAGGTGGTACCTTTTATCTAATTCTCCAGTTCCTAGTATGGTATGAAGTAGGAACTCCTCAAGTGTTTTTTAAAC